GAATAAGTGTGTTTATACCTCAATATACAACTGGATGTGCAGAAGGGTTAGTATTCACAAAAAGAATAACATACAAGAATAAATATTTTTGTACAACACTTAGCAGGCATCACCATCTTAAGTAATTCCATGTAACCACTTATCAAATGAGAAGATATTCAAGCTGCTTCGCTTTCAGAAAACAATGAGAATAATTGAGCATTTTTTCTGTAGTTTGGTTTCATATTTTGGTATATCTACTCTTCTGGCAATGGCTGGATAAATACTGTATGGTTTTGGAGACCCGTGTATTTCATATTTCCTATAGAAGACAGGATGAAATACTGTACAGCAATATTTGGTACCTAGCAATCACTTTAACATTATCTTATCAATATACCTTATGCTATTATAATACATTTGTAATATGTCATTCACTGCTAAAACATTAAAAATATATATATTTTTGAATCTTGCAAAGAAATTCCATGGGAAAGATCAAAGTAAACCAACAAATAATGTTGACAGGAAATAAAGTTTACTATTATCCTACACAGTCTTGAAAACAAAAAATGAAATTATTTAGGACCCATGAGTTGTTATGATGGGGAACTAGGAATGTAATATTTGAAGAAAACTGGAAATTTATTAAATGCTTGTCAGAGTCCATTGGGCTTTTACTCCTCAATGGAAGAATTTCTGATTACTAACTGCAATGGGAACGCTTCTGATTATTCCAAATCAAAATTCAGTCAAATCATTACAGGTTATCCCAAGGTAAGTCAAAGAAGTGGGGATGAAATAGTTAAAAAATAAACCCATGTACAAAAATATGCAAAACTATAAGGAGAATAGGTATAATTCTACAGATAGTAAATGGTAGGGATAACCCAAAAAAGAAATTACTATCATTCCATAAACAATTTCCTACAGGTAACTAAAAAAAAAAAAAACATTGAAAGTGGTATCATAATTCCCAATGTGACAAATGGAGCTTCTTAAACAAGCCATACAAGTACTTCATTTTAACAGGGTAATGCTGAAGCCACTGTAGAAAAGTGTGAACATAAATGCTTCTTTCTTACAAATCTGGAAAATGCCTGCTTAACATAGAATCTGTTGTCGTAAAAAGATGGCCCACAAATATTACATGCAAAATATGGGTCATCTTAGTCTCATAAAACTACTTGTGCTTATACATAATCTAACAACTATTCACTGGTGAAAAGCATTCACGGTGTCTACAGTAACTAAAAAAAAAAAAAAAACATTGAAAGTGGTATCATAATTCCCAATGTGACAAATGGAGCTTCTTAAACAAGCCATACAAGTACTTCATTTTAACAGGGTAATGCTGAAGCCACTGTAGAAAAGTGTGAACATAAATGCTTCTTTCTTACAAATCTGGAAAATGCCTGCTTAACATAGAATCTGTTGTCGTAAAAAGATGGCCCACAAATATTACATGCAAAATATGGGTCATCTTAGTCTCATAAAACTACTTGTGCTTATACATAATCTAACAACTATTCACTGGTGAAAAAGCATTCATGTGAATGCACAGGTAGTCAGCATGTAATATATTTATATATTTATTTAATGATCTATTAATATCATTAAATTCAACAGCAACATAATTTGAAATCTTGACTTGTTGGTGTGCATCACTAGAGAAAATAAAGCTAATACTTACAACATCTTAAAATGACCGTGCATAAAAACTACAAAAAATATGACACATCGTAAAGTTTTAAATGACGACTAAACATATACAAACTCAGATACATCCACTACAATTTCGCTATATGTAAGCTAACATGAATTTAATAATATTTTAAGTTATGCATCATAAGAGTTCTTTTATAAGGAATTAAAATCATATACTACTTCTTTAAATGTTAATAAGTCTAGTAAAGCTATCAATATCATTTGTAGTATTAATGGCCTACTAAAATTTATGTATGCTATTAATTTGGTATAAAATGCATTTTTAATTTAAGTTTTAAAGACAAAAAAATCTGACTAGTTGGTGACTTGATTAATAAGACATTCTTATCCTTTTCTCTTTGATCTTGAGTTCATCTTGATAATATCCATCAAAATATTAATTTTCTAGGACTATACTTTTTTCATTTCAAATAATCACTTAAATTATACAACTGGCTAAGACCCATATCATCTCCAGCTTCGTCTCTGTACAAGATACTGATTCTTCCAGAGATCAATAAGACTGCTAGACACTGCAGCTCCTAAGCCAAGATAGCGATGCGAGTGTGACCAAAAGCAAGGTGTAGAGTAAGTTGGACGATCTTCCTCCACATCCGGAATGACGACTACTTGGTCGACCTGAAAAAATTAAAGGAAAATGAAAACAGAGTCCAGATGTACCACTGAATGTAAGTTTTGAAAAAATATTATATTTTGGATAAGACAAATGTAAAGTGTCCATGAACATGACAAGAAATATGTAATTCAAGTTTTACTTTTCTATAACAGGTATTTTCCTTCACAAAAATATGAAAAGAAATATATATACTATAAATATATAAATATATATACTATAACCAAATTTGTGTAAAACATGAAAAATACAGTAAGTACTGCGTCCTGAAATTATTTGTAAAATTAATGGCAAGGGAAAGGGAAAAAATATTTATGTAGATCCAATTTATAGACCCTCCATAATCTGAACTATTGCAATTATGAATAATAATATTCATAATTTTAAGACACAATACAGTAACGTACTTATACATTATACATTAGATGCTATAATCATTTTGAGAGGAATATTAAAATCTGACTACACATGCTTTTCACAACATATCTAATTCTTCTACCATCAATAAGCTGTAAACATTTTTCATCAATAAATAGACACATTCAGCTCACAAATTGGCATGCAAGCAAGCATCCCCCCCCCCCTGCACCAACACACGCACACTCATTCATTCAATCAATCAACCATTCATTCTTTATTTCAACTCACTCACTCAACTCCCTAATTCAGTCATTCATTCAACTAGATGCACACACACACACCCACAATACTCACAAGCACATACTCACACACTCTACACACAATTCAGTGACACATTTTGCTCAAAAACACACACATATTCACTTACTCTTAAATATACACTCACATACTTCAAAACAGTGACACAAAAATGTTGCCATCCAAGAAAGAGAAATCTACAAATACCATACAGAATTAAGATAACAGAGACACAAATATTTTATTCATGCAAAGTTCTGATAATTGTGAATAAAATCATGAACTGATACATGGCAAATATGCCATACTTCTGGTGTGGGTGTGTGTGTTAGTATAAGAGAGAGAGAGAGAGAGAGAGAGAGAGAGAGAGAGAGAGAGAGAGAGAGAGAGAGAGAGAGAGAGAGAGAGAGAGAGAGAGAGAGAGAGAGAGAGAGAGAGAGAGAGAGAGAGAGAGAGAGAGAGAGAGAGACAGACAGACAGACAGACAGACAGAGACAGACAGACAGACAGAGACAGACAGACAGACAGAGACAAACAGACAGACAGAGACAAACAGACAGACAGAGAGACAGACAGACAGAGACAAACAGACAGACAGAGACAAACAGACAGACAGAGACAAACAGACAGACAGAGACAAACAGACAGACAGAGACAAACAGACAGACAGAGACAAACAGACAGACAGAGACAAACAGACAGACAGAGACAAACAGACAGACAGAGACAAACAGACAGACAGACAGAGACAGACAGACAGACAGAGTGGAGTGTGAGTGTGAGTGTGCATGTGAATGAGTGTGAGTGTGAATGTACATATGAGTGTGAGTGTGCATGTGAGTGTGAGTGTGAGTGTGTGCATATAAGTGTGAATGTGAATGAGAGTCAGTGTGTGTGTGTCAGTGTGTGTGTCAGTGTGTGTGTGTGTGTGTGTGTGTCAGTGTGTGTGAGTGTGAGTGTCAGTGTGAGTGAGTGAGTGAGTGAGTGAGTGAGTGAGTGAGTGAGTGAGTGAGTGAGTGAGTGTGTGTGTGTGTGTGTGTGTGTGTGTGTGTGTGATGACCTACGCAGTGCCAACTAGTCTAGCAAACAACACCGAGAAGTAATACCGCGACGAATACCCGGCTGGCCAAGGGGTTGCCAGATCATGGGCGGCAGCGTGACCATGGAGGGCCGCGGGGTGGTGCGGAGAGGCGTGGGATATTGCAGGATACTTATAGGGATGTTTGGGATGTCGCTGTCGTCTGTGGTGCTCGGGGCCGCGGTTTCCGTCGTGGATTCGTAGTCCATCCAGCCGTCGGTGCAGTTGCTGCTCATGTCGAAATCCGTCATGTTATCGGTCATGTTCCAGTTTTCCGTGTCAGCCAAGGTCACGCACAAGAGAGTTGCGTTGCCCTCCATGAGTGGGTCAAGCGTGGTGCTTTCGTCGCCATGCTCATCGTCATAAGCCGCGTCTGCCCTGTCGGCGTGTCCCTCGCCCTCCGCGATGACTGCCATCTCGACGTGTGTGACATTCTCGAGCACGCGCGCATGGTGGCTGGGCATCGTCTTCCAGCGCCTCCGCGCCTTGTCCTCGCCGGGGCCTCCTGTGCTCGCCGGCACCGCCGTCTGGCTGCGGGTCACGATCGCCTGCTCACTCAGCAGTCGCGCCGTTTGTTTGGGCGGCTGACCAGCGCCGTGGCCATGTTCTTCTGTCTGATCGATCACGTGATCAGGTTTTTCTTTATGGTCAGGTTCACCGTCGTCATGTTGACCTGTATAAGCATGCTGACTAGCGTGACCATGGTCATTAGCCTGATCTTGATCACTTGCACGAGCATGGTCATCGGTGTGATCATGATCGTCAGCGTGATCATGATCAGTGTGATCATGGTCATCAATGTTATCATGATCATCAGCATGATCGTGGTTATTAGAGTGATCATGGTCGTCAGCGTGATCATGGTCAGTGTGATCATGGTCGTCAGCATTATCATGGTCATCAGCGTGATCATGATCATCAGCATGATCTTGGTTATTAGAGTGATCATGATCGTCAGCGTGATCATGATCATCAGCATGATCGTGGTTATTAGAGTGATCATGGTCGTCAGCGTGATCATGATCATCAGCATGATCGTGGTTATTAGAGTGATCATGATCGTCAGCGTGATCATGATCATCAGCATGATCGTGGTTATTAGAGTGATCATGGTCGTCAGCTGTGTGTGTGTGTGTGTGTGTGTGTGTGTGTGTGTGTGTGTGTGTGTGTGTGTGTGTGTGTGTGTGTGTGTGTGTGTGTGTGTGTGTGTGTGTGTGTGTGTGTGTGTGTGTGTGTGTGTGTGTGTGTGTGTGTGTGTGTGTGTGTGTGTGTGTGTGTGTGTGTGTGTGTGTGTGTGTGTGTGTGTGTGTGTGTGTGTGTGTGTGTGTGTGTGTGTGTGTGTGTGTGTGTGTGTGTGTGTGTGTGTGTGTGTGTGTGTGTGTGTGTGTGTGTGTGTGTGTGTGTGTGTGTGTGTGTGTGTGTGTGTGTGTGTGTGTGTGTGTGTGTGTGTGTGTGTGTGTGTGTGTGTGTGTGTGTGTGTGTGTGTGTGTGTGTGTGTGTGTGTGTGTGTGTGTGTGTGTGTGTGTGTGTGTGTGTGTGTGTGTGTGTGTGTGTGTGTGTGTGTGTGTGTGTGTGTGTGTGTGTGTGTGTGTGTGTGTGTGTGTGTGTGTGTGTGTGTGTGTGTGTGTGTGTGTGTGTGTGTGTGTGTGTGTGTGTGTGTGTGTGTGTGTGTGTGTGTGTGTGTGTGTGTGTGTGTGTGTGTGTGTGTGTGTGTGTGTGTGTGTGTGTGTGTGTGTGTGTGTGTGTGTGTGTGTGTGTGTGTGTGTGTGTGTGTGTGTGTGTGTGTGTGTGTGTGTGTGTGTGTGTGTGTGTGTGTGTGTGTGTGTGTGTGTGTGTGTGTGTGTGTGTGTGTGTGTGTGTGTGTGTGTGTGTGTGTGTGTGTGTGTGTGTGTGTGTGTGTGTGTGTGTGTGTGTGTGTGTGTGTGTGTGTGTGTGTGTGTGTGTGTGTGTGTGTGTGTGTGTGTGTGTGTGTGTGTGTGTGTGTGTGTGTGTGTGTGTGTGTGTGTGTGTGTGTGTGTGTGTGTGTGTGTGTGTGTGTGTGTGTGTGTGTGTGTGTGTGTGTGTGTGTGTGTGTGTGTGTGTGTGTGTGTGTGTGTGTGTGTGTGTGTGTGTGTGTGTGTGTGTGTGTGTGTGTGTGTGTGTGTGTGTGTGTGTGTGTGTGTGTGTGTGTGTGTGTGTGTGTGTGTGTGTGTGTGTGTGTGTGTGTGTGTGTGTGTGTGTGTGTGTGTGTGTGTGTGTGTGTGTGTGTGTGTGTGTGTGTGTGTGTGTGTGTGTGTGTGTGTGTGTGTGTGTGTGTGTGTGTGTGTGTGTGTGTGTGTGTGTGTGTGTGTGTGTGTGTGTGTGTGTGTGTGTGTGTGTGTGTGTGTGTGTGTGTGTGTGTGTGTGTGTGTGTGTGTGTGTGTGTGTGTGTGTGTGTGTGTGTGTGTGTGTGTGTGTGTGTGTGTGTGTGTGTGTGTGTGTGTGTGTGTGTGTGTGTGTGTGTGTGTGTGTGTGTGTGTGTGTGTGTGTGTGTGTGTGTGTGTGTGTGTGTGTGTGTGTGTGTGTGTGTGTGTGTGTGTGTGTGTGTGTGTGTGTGTGTGTGTGTGTGTGTGTGTGTGTGTGTGTGTGTGTGTGTGTGTGTGTGTGTGTGTGTGTGTGTGTGTGTGTGTGTGTGTGTGTGTGTGTGTGTGTGTGTGTGTGTGTGTGTGTGTGTGTGTGTGTGTGTGTGTGTGTGTGTGTGTGTGTGTGTGTGTGTGTGTGTGTGTGTGTGTGTGTGTGTGTGTGTGTGTGTGTGTGTGTGTGTGTGTGTGTGTGTGTGTGTGTGTGTGTGTGTGTGTGTGTGTGTGTGTGTGTGTGTGTGTGTGTGTGTGTGTGTGTGTGTGTGTGTGTGTGTGTGTGTGTGTGTGTGTGTGTGTGTGTGTGTGTGTGTGTGTGTGTGTGTGTGTGTGTGTGTGTGTGTGTGTGTGTGTGTGTGTGTGTGTGTGTGTGTGTGTGTGTGTGTGTGTGTGTGTGTGTGTGTGTGTGTGTGTGTGTGTGTGTGTGTGTGTGTGTGTGTGTGTGTGTGTGTGTGTGTGTGTGTGTGTGTGTGTGTGTGTGTGTGTGTGTGTGTGTGTGTGTGATCATGATCATCAGCATGATCGTGGCTGATCATGGTCGTCAGCGTGATCATGGTCAGCGTGATCATGGTCAGCGTGATCATGGTCAGCGTGATCATGGTCGTCAGCATTATCATGGTCATCAGCGTGATCATGATCATCAGCATGATCTTGGTTATTATAGTGATCATGATCGTCAGCGTGATCATGGTCAGCGTGATCATGATCATCAGCATGATCGTGGTTATTAGAGTGATCATGATCGACAGCGTGATCATGGTCGTCAGCGTGATCATGATCATGGTCGTCAGTGTGATCATGATCATGGTCGTCAGTGTGATCATGATCATGGTCGTCAGTGTGATCGTGATCATTAGTGTGATCGTGATCATGGTCATCAGTGTGATCATGATCATGGTCGTCAGTGTGATCATGATCATTAGTGTGATCATGATCATGGTCATCAGTGTGATCATGATCATTAGTGTGATCATGATCATGGTCATCAGCGTGATCGTGATCATTAGTGTGATCATGGTCATGGTCATCAGTGTGATCATGATCATGGTCGTCAGTGTGATCATGATCATGGTCGTCAGTGTGATCATGATCATGGTCGTCAGTGTGATCATGATCATGGTCGTCAGTGTGATCATGATCATGGTCGTCAGTGTGATCATGATCATGGTCATCAGTGTGATCATGATCATTAGTGTGATCATGATCATGGTCGTCAGTGTGATCATGATCATGGTCATCAGTGTGATCATGACCATGGTCGTCAGTGTGATCATGATCATGGTCGTCAGTGTGATCATGATCGTCAGCGTGATCATGATCATGGTCGTCAGTGTGATCATGATCGTCAGCGTGATCATGATCATGGTCGTCAGCGTGACCATGATCATGGTCGTCAGTGTGATCATGATCATGATCGACAGCGTGATCATGATCATGGTCGTCAGTGTGATCATGATAATGGTCATCAGCGTGATCGTGGTCATTAGAGTGATCGTGATCATTAGTGTGATTATGGTCATCAGTGTGATCATGGTCATTAGTGTGCTCAAGGTCATTATTGTAATCGTGGCCATCAACATGATCATGGTCAAGGTTAACAGGTCCATCAGAATGACCGGGTTCATCGTGATCATTTTCATTATGATCCTGTTCGTCATCGTGGTCATGTTCATGAGTGTGACTGTCTTCTTCAGAATGGCCATGCTCATCAGTGTGGTCATGACTATGTTGATCACTCTTGTGCTCATGTCCTTCCACGTCCTGTGCATGCTGGTCGTCAGAAGAGTTTTTCACTGATGTTTCATGACTAACGTGACTATCCTGGGGGTCATTATGCGAGCTGCCTTCGTCGGGAGATCCTTCCGCATGATTCTCTTCCTTGTACTTCTGCAGGAATGTCAGAGGATGATACCTAATCCTCTCCCTGTCATCTTCCGCAGTGACTTGCCTCCTTACCCGGCTCACTAAGTACTCCTCGGAATGAGATTGGTACTTGGGACGCAATAAGTTCTCGAAGTACTTTTTGTAAGGTAGAACAGGCTTTCTAAAGAAGCGGATTCGGTTTGTTTCTGCATCTACATCATCTGCTGTCCTGTCGCCATTTCGGGTAATTTCCTGGCCACGGTGTCCCTTTCCAGTTAGCTTCTTCATAAATTTTGAGAAGCTGTCCACTGATTTCAGAATCTTATGTGGGGAAGCATTACACTGATGACCTACCTTACAGGGTACAAACACTTGTCCCTCTACAGATTGATAGCAGCGTGAAAAGATAGGCGTACATTTGGTTTTCATCCAATAAAGGTATAGCAATACAGGAAATTAGTAGGAGCTACATTAGATATGGCGAAAATCCGAAGTTCCTTATACAGAATAAGTTAGAAAGAAATACTGATTATAGAGTATATGTCGAGTATGGATAGGAATTAGTCAAGAGGCAATCGCATCCATCAATAATGATGCATGCAACTATTCTAGAGGGCGACATACTGACCTGTTATAGGCTTCCAGGGTCGAGTTGTTCTAAGCCACGGAGGCCTGGTGGCCCGTGGCGTGTAATCCGTTACGAGGGAGCTCTGACTCGCTCGCGTGGGGGGTACGCACGCCTCTGTGGAGTAACGATAAGTTTCATACGATGTTTACTTAAAGCACTGACCATTATCTTATAACAATGTAAGAGTTGAAATTGCCGACTAAACAAATACTATTACTGAAGGTAAAATAAAGTAACATTTATATTCATTGCCACTATTCATAACAAATCCCCTTTCTCACCTTTCCTGTGCAGCTTCATACCCAGGACCTCAGGCTGAACACCCCTGGAACACACAGGGCCCGCTTCTTTGATGAAGACTACGCCTGAGGGCTTGATTACTCCCACAAAGCACTCGTAGGTCTTGACATCCCTACGATAAGTGAAGGCGTAAAGGCGCCCCTCTTCCTCCCACTGCCCTAAGCACTGATATTCCCGCTCTGGAAAAGGTCAAGATAGGTCACCACATTGCCACAATTAAAATATTTCTCGTAGTAAGCATAAAAGATCAAAATCTTTTAAAATCGTTATTCATCATAATATTAGATTACTAGAGAAGAAATGTTAAACTATTCAATTCATTTAGCCAAGAAAGATTCCTAATATGCCATCAACATATTAATTTATATTTAATACTAATTCTAGTGATTTATTGTCTTTATTTAGAAACGAAAGTATTTTGCATTAAACTATATAAATTATTTACAGATATGATCCGTTATATTCTAGAGAACTATTTTATTCATATTATTCAACAAGTAAACTGATGAAATAAATGAGTAAAATAATCCTCCCTGTGCACTGTGAAAAAAAATATAAAGAAAAATGAGGCAGAGCACCATATCCTGGTCACTGGTATTTAAGAAAAAGTGTATTTGGGCGTTAATGTCACTTGGTCTGATCTAACAAAAAATCAACCAATAAGTAAATAAAAGAAAATCTGTTCACTAAAAAACTGGGAATACATGCACTGTTTTATATTCACTCGCTCTCTTCGACCTACCATGTTCAGTTCACCCTGATCACGAAACAGTCAATTAAAATCAATCGAAAGGGATCACCGTCTATAACCCGACCCTACACACACCACCACGACGGATCCAGTGCTAATATTAAGGGATCGGGTGACATCTGTAGGGGATCAAGTAACCATAAAGAGGCCGCTGGTACTTAAGATTCGGTCTCGTGTTGGGGCTTCAGCGACACCCTGCCTCGCCTTGGCTTTGGGTGGACTCTCCAGCACGGGAGGGGAGGGAGGGAAAAGGAAAGAGGGGAGGGGAGGGGAGGGGAGGGGAAGAGGGGAGGGGAGGGGAGGGGAGGGGAAGAGGGGAGGGGAAAGGGAAGGGAAAAAGGAGGGGAAGGGAGGGGAAGAGGGGAGGGAAGGGAGGGGAGGGGAGGGGAAAGGGAAGGGGAGGGGAAAGGGAAGGGAAGGGAAAAAGGAGGGGAGGGGAGGGGAGAGGAGGGGAGGGGAGGGGAGGAGAGGGAAGAGAAGGGAAAAAGGAGGGGAGGGAAGGAGAGGAGAGGGAAGGGAAGATCAGAGGTAGGGGAGGGGAACGGAGGAGAGGAAAGAGAAGGGAAAAAGGAGGGGAGGGGAGGGGAAGGAAGGAGAGAAGAGGGAAGGGAAGATCAGAGGTAGGGTAGGGTAGGGAATGGAAGGGGACGGGAGGGGAGGGGAGGGAAGGGAAGGGGAGGGAAGGAGACTTATTAACGATGATGACGATGATGATGATGATGATGATGATGATGATGATGATGATGATGATGATGATGAGGATGACAACGACGATGATGATGACGATGATAATGATCACGACGATAATGATCATGATAATGATGATGACAATATCGATGATGATGACGTTAATGATCATCATACTGATGATGACGATAACGATGATGAGGACGACGTTAATGATCATGATGACGATGATGATGATAATAAATAAACCACGGTACCTGAAGCTTACAAATGTAAGACGAGAAATTATTGACGCGCCAGAGAGGGCGGGGAAGAACTAGGGTGGGGTGGGGGATTAAAGCCCTTCTATGTAATCAGGTTTATTGGATGTGGATTGCGTTGGTATAGGACACCGAACGCGGTCGTGATTGGTCTCAGCCCAATATAGACGACGTCTTCAATGCCAGCTAATAACCGCAATAAGGTGCACTGAGCATCTAACCTAGAGAGAAAAAAAATAGGAGAAGCCTCACAAACTTCTATTAATAACGTCTCCTCTATTTTTTCTTGCGGATGAGCCATACGTCACATTCAAATATCCCATTTCCCACCCACTCCCAGGGACGTCCTTAGGGAAAAGAAAGACCAGGGCCGGTCCCCCCGACAGCCGCTATTCTCAGGGTAATTACGGGGCGACAAGAACGTGGCTTGGGTGACGCACGCACGCACGCAAAGGCTCTGTCTATCTCGACTCCAGAATAGAAACTTCCCGACACTAATGCCTGTTCTCGGAGGGCCATCCGTGTCGCCGGTGCCACGCCTACCCCATGGCCGCGCGGTGGGAACTTGGGCCAAATGGGATGCTATTAAGGGAAAGAAAATGAAAATGATGGAGTAAAGGAAGGGGGAAGAAAATGAAAGACAAGGATATCGAAAATAAACGGTAGAGAAAATCAATTTATATTGACAATGAAGGAAGTGACAACAGGTAAGATGTAACAATCAATTCATGCGAATTCATTGCCCACAAGAAAAAATAATACGTACGAGAAGAAGTGAAACAAAATGAAAAACAGAGAACTAGAAGAAAAAGAAAAGTCGCGGACGATGGAAAGGAAGTTGTAAGAAAAAAATAGGCACAACCAGCGGAATAAGATTAAACATATGTAACAAATGGGAAGGAAAGGGACAAAACACAAAACAACAGAGGCTAGAAAATCGCAAGACAATAAGACGAAGAAAAAGCAAAACTAGCAAACAGAAAAGAATATACGAAGAAGGGAAGAGCGAAAGGAGAGAGAGGAAGAAGGAGGTGGGGGGGGGGGGGGATACATGAGATGGTGGACGTGGCGCCAAGGCGTGTCAAGTGACCAAAATACGAGGTCTGGTTCCAGATGACCGGGTGACCACCGGGTCAATCCAAGGGTCATCGGGGAGGGAGAGGGGAAAAGGAGGAGGAGGGGGGCACTCAAGGGGAGGGGGGGGCACTCAAGGGGGGGGGGGGAGGAGGGGGCACTCAAGGGGGGGGAGAGGAGGGGGCACTCAAGGGGGGGGAGAGGAGGGGGCACTCAAGGGGGGAAAGAGAAGGTGGAGGAGGTGTGAAGGGGAAGAGGGGAAGAGAGAAGAGGAGGAGGTGGAGGGGGAGGGGAGAGTAAGGGGGAAGAGGAGGGGAAGGGGGAGAGAAGGGGAGGGGAGAGTAAGGGGGAAGAGAAGGGGAAGGGGGAGAGGAAGAGAGAAAAGGAGGAGGAGAAAGAGGGGGAGGGGGGGAAAGGATAGGGGGGAAGGAGGAAGAGGAAGAGAAGCGGACAAAGTAAGCAAACAAGAAAAAAGAACGCGAACCATTTAAACATACATCTAAGGTATAAATCCAGATATAATAAGGTATAAGAAACCGGAGGTAAATAAACGAACAGAGTGGCGAGGAAAAAAGACCCTTCCACCAGCTGGCTTATCGAACACAATAAACTGAAAATAAAAAAAAATAACATCTATTTTTTTTTGGTAACTGAACATAGTATCAACTTTTAATCTACTAAATGACTAATTAAATATAAACCTACCGAATACGTTAATCTACATCTTTAATTCATATGCAGCACATCATGCAGGTTTAACGCATGCGAAAGTAATATTAAATACGACTTCTAACAATAACTTGTTTTCACTATTTACAGTGTCACACGTACCTTAATAATTCTTCAAAGCTGAGCTACACTAAGAGGGGAAAGGCATAAAACGCAATGGCGAAATAAGGATTCGTCGTCAGTGCATTTACGGTCAAGCCCGTTAGTCCACGAATGTCTGTTTTCGTTTTTCCGTTTCTTTTCGTGTGGTCATGATGAGTCATTCAGTCAGTCTTCATGACCACACTCCAAATTATGTTATAACCATGCTTACCTATGATCCAAATTCAAATGCAGGTAGTTCAAATAACAAACATAAATATAACACATATAATAACAGGAAGGACTACTTGTGCGGTGCGGTAATGCAATAATCGTGCAAGGTCCACCAGCAAGTGAGATATTAGTCGCAATGGCGGAGAGCGATGCGTGACTGTCGCCACAACTACCTCTTGAGCAAGATGAATGGGGCAAGCTGACTCCAACCTCACCCGTGACCTGTTGTTTATTCCAAATACTTGCACAGGTTAGTATGGCGAAGTAGTGTTGTAATGTAGCGTATGAATTGTGGCGTAGATACTGCAGTCTGGCACACGATGACCGTGGGGTGTTGTCTACATATGTAGGTGTTAGTAATAAGCAAACAACAGTGCAAAAAGAGCAAGGTGCATTTATACCCATATAAAATCAACAAGCATTACATTTTCCTGGCAAGCAAGCTGCCGAGCATTCCCGAATTCGAAAATTCCTCTGAATTACACGTTACAAAAATAAACATGGTAAAATAATCATGTAATACCACCATGCACTACCATGCTGCATGTCGACAGTACATGATGTCTTCAAGTAATTAGGAATGGCCGACGTCTGAACATGATATGCGTGCCTCTAGTCGGCGTTTCTGCCTGCTGCTCTCCGTCAGCACTTTCTTTTTATGAAGTGATGTGAGAGCGAAGAAGGAATGGATCTGACGGTGCTGTTGCGAGCGCCTGTTTTGATTTACGTCTGTTTAGCAGTCCTGGCTGTGATGTAATACTCTCAATTGGTGCTGTCTAAGCCGTGTTACTGTAAGGAAATTTTTCAGGTCTACGGATTATTGGGTGCTCCCAACTTGGCGAGTGTGTAAAGGTTGTGATGAGTACTGAGATGAAATGGGTTTTCTGGAGACTCCACCACCATAGCCCGTGTACTATGGGACACACTGTACCTTTCTTGAGCACAGAAGACGTCGCCCTCCCCGGGGGAGACGCAGTGTCGTGACTGTTAGGCCGACCATCGTTAGAAGAGCGACTCCCTACTCCTCTGGAGTTCTCAATATCCTTAGTTGTGGTGAGAGATATCCCTGCCACAAAGTATGTTCCTCCTGTACGCGTTCTTGTGTCATCATTAAGACGATTATTAGATGCATGTGACTGTGTAGAAGGCGGGCTTCTTGACCAGATATCTTCTTCTCTCGTGTTGTATGATTCACTGTTTTCTGAACTGTTGAGGTCAAGATCAAGAGAGGAAGAACCCCCGCTGGTGAAAGGTCTGTTTAATGTCGAGTCGTGTCTATTGTTCGATGCGTCACCAGGTCTGTAAGGTCGTTCATAAAGTCTGTCATCACCACTGCCTGAAAGAACGATATTTGGTGATTCTATATTTCTATCAGTTTCTGAAGAAGACCAGAAACCTCTTCCACCTGGCTGTCTGTTTGTTGTCTTGTCCTGTCTGTTGAAACTGTCTCTTACCTGTTCGTCCGAGTCTGAATAACCACTGTTTGGATGTTTAAATTTAGAATTATCGTTACTAGAAGTGTCAGGAAAGGAAGGGCCAAGAGAAGGCCTCCATCCAGAGGAGGAGGAAGGAGTAGTGAGATCTATAACATCAAAACCCGAAAGTGCAGTCTCAGAAGAGTGCGGACGGCGCCCATCGCGACCACTTCCGACTTCTGGCGAAGAACCCCAAGAGGAAGAAAAGTATCCATCACCACTACCAGAACCATGACCTTCGTGCATGTCGCGGTTGTCAGTCATGCTGAGCCCCGGTTTTTCATGATCCCTTAAACCTGTGTCCCTGTTAGAATGTTCTGACTGACGGCTGCCTTCCGTGAAATCGTCCCCCTGAACCCTGGTTGGCCAATAACCAGGGGGGAATTTATGTCTGTTGTCCCATGCATAATACCCGGTGTCCTGTTGGCCATGCATACCTTGTATTTGAGGGAAATGCTTTGCATCCCCAAAGTGCTGTGCTCGGCCCCCATTGCGAGAGCCAGGGGAGTGTCGCACTGAGGACTCAGGGGGGGATGCCACTGGATCTCGTGGGTAAGTGGCTTCGCCTCCGCTGACGGAAGGTGCTTTTGAGGTCGATTCATGAAAGCCAGGCGGTGCACCAGGAACCCAGGTTGCTCGACCTGGCACGCCCCCTGTCTCCTCCTCTTCGTCGTCAGGCTTCCGATCTGGCAGTGGCACTGGCCTACTAATGTGAGATGGTGCATGTGGAGGCGCATGTGGAGGCGCATGGACTGGCCTTTGCTGCGACAAGTGCACCGGCACTTGCGGTGGTGGTTGCGGCGGCAGAGGTCGATGCTGTGGCATCTGAGGAGGCAGTGATTGCTGTGGTGGTAGAGGTGGCAGTGGTCTCTGCTGTGGTCCTTGAGGTGGTAATGGTCGTTGCTGAGGGGGCAATGGTGGCAGAGGTCGTTGCTGCGGCGCCTGCGGCACTGGTCGCTGTACAGATGTTTGCACAGGTGGTTGTGCAGGTGGTCGCACTGGCGGCGGCGCAGGATCTGCCTGAAACTCGTCCCGACTGCCAGTGCCAGGCCAGAATCCAAGCGGATTGTAGTCCTCCTGTCGCCTTGGAGGCTGAGGTGGACGGCGGTTTTCTAGGAAGGAATCACGACCGGGGGAGCGATCGAAATTACGGCCCGAAGTTGGCCCGCTGCGTGACGGCGGTGGCCTGGGCCTGGGCGTCGTCGTGGTCGTGGTGGTTGTAGTTGTGGTTGTAAACTCCGGTGTACTCGAGCCCCATAACCACGAGATGGTTGTGGTACGAGCATTAGCAACACGAAATTGGCCTGCCTGCCGTTTCCCGCGCCTTCCTTCGCTGCCGGCGATGGTAAGCATGGCGCCCGTGCTAACTTTTTGCTCGGGCGGCAGCCAGGGTCCCGCCTCGCTCGTGGGGCCGCCCACCTCCACTTCTGGAAATACATGGGATATGCCTCCAGCCTCTGACCTGCGCCAGGCTTATAACTCATCTAAGAACTGGACAACTACCGGCAAAGGGAATGTTAGTGACTATGCTGCAAAATCTTACACAACTGTCGAGCATATGTACTGTACTTTCTGTTAGTTGAATTACGTGGTATAACCAAGCACGAGTTAGTACTTCAATGTTACTTCGTTAGTCAAGCCGAAGCCTATCAAGTCAATATTACCAAGGTTGATAACTTAGTAGGAAATGAATAACACTCCCGCTACTCACGTTCATAGATGGCGGTGTTGTTCCTGCATTCGCTGACTGTGTAGTACATAATCTCGGGGGCGTCGCAGTCCGAATAGAGCTGCGAACAGATCCCCTTCGCGTCCGGCAGCTCCCCCGCGTAGTTCCCAACAATAGGACACGCTGTCGGTTCCTCGACGAGGGATTCTGCACGGCGAGGGAGGCATCAGTAACCAAGGGACAATGATTGAACATCCGAAATCACTTTAATTGCATGAATAGAAAGAAAAAACATGTAAAAACTAATAATTCCATAATAAGAAAACATAAGTTAAAAAAAGGGGCATGGGAAATAGGCGTTTGCTACATCACTGGAAAAAAAACCAATTCACGTGAAAAAGACGTAAATTCCAGAATACTAAACTGCATACGGATATACGCACACCTTGCGATATTTCCTGTTAAGAAGAAGTGAAAGCATAAAGCATATCATTTCACAACTAATCGCGTGTAGGAAAACATTTCCTTTTATTCGTCATAAACAATATATCGTGAACGCAGCAAGCATCCTTCTATTGTGACATGCAACTCAGCCTTGCAACTCACTTCCTTGTGTGATCCACGAAGTCATATCTCCGAACTTGGCATAGTCACACAGGCGGTCGTCGAACACCTCGCTCGGGTAAAGACCTGTCGGGGAAAACGCAATAAGCTCATGGAAATACACGGCGACTACGTATACATATCGACGATCTGTCTGCTACGTTCCTGAGCTTCAAACGAACTCGCTTCTCATACGGCTATGTTTATCTAATTCATCCATTGCTAGTTCAATAACCGACATGCATATATTCATATGACATATTTGTATCCACCCTTCCCGTTCATATACCTTCTTTCCATAATATTCATAAATAAAAAAAAGAAAAAAACTCGTCATGAGACTCACCCAGCATGAACTCCAAGATGTTGGCACTGCGTCTCTTGAGCCACATGCAGTTATAGTTCCAATCGCCGCTGGGAAGAGAACACAAGAACACATTGTATAACACGAAAGATCTCCCCCGCCGCCAGTACTGAGATCCCTTTGTCAGACGATG